TTCCAAGGAGCAGGATTTTCTTCATTTTACCATCTGAAATTAGGACACATGACATAACTGATGCCCTTCAGATATGCTTGGCAGCATTTCCCACTTAGTAGTACATGAAACAACAGTGTTCATAACTGATGGTGCTTTAGATTTGTGAAATACCATAAATTTCTGAATGTTCAGTCTTGAGATCTCAAGATAAGAACCACAAATTACTCGCCGTGGTGACTTTCTAACTCCAGCTTACTGTCTCGCTAATCTTAAGGTGTGCAGTAGAGAACCAGGCCTTTCAACACATGGAGGGTTATGTCTTCGAGTTCTAGTAATGTAGATGGTAGTTCAGATAAAGTGTTATGGTAGCAGTCATCTTTCTTTCATTGAATAGTTTACACCTTACTGATGTGTGATTACTCCCTGATTAATAAGTTAATTGGAGGGTCGCAGTGTTTCTTAGTATTAGGGCTTCTTGGGTTGAATCCCAACTTCTGAATATGTGCTTGATCAACTGGGATTTAGTTTTGGATAAGCTGCTGTAATACAGCTAATCTTTAGTGATCTTTATAGTTGGATACACAGTTGTAGCCCCCAGATGACCTCCGAACCCTTTATTAGCTATTTATGAGAGGTGCCAGTGTGTAGCAAAGTAATTGGTTTGCTTTTCAAAGTATTGTTTCCATTTGAAGCAGGAACAGTAAATACTGAGATGGCCAATAAATGAATCAGCCATGGAATATATGTAAGAGAGCCGAAAGGATGAATAGTCTATACAGTGGGAAATCGACCTTTGAGCAGTGACAGTTGGCTGTGCTTTCATGCATTAGCATTGAGCATTGTGTAGAATTAACTTGATTTGTGCTGATTAAATTCCAAGGCGAAGTGCTCCCTATCTCATTTCTAGACTCTCAACAGTTCAGTCATCTCTCATTGAGAATTCATTTCTCTATGTGTGATTCAAACATGATAAAACAATAATGAGAAGATAAAAATCAGGGTTAGAAAAAAAGTATTTTAAACCTGCAGCCTTTCTGAACAGGAGAAAAGCAATTATAAGGGTTTGGAGAATCAATAGAAATTGATGTTTTATATCAAAGAAAACTTAAGACCTTGAGTCCTGCCCTTGCTGCTCTCACTATATAGTACAAAGAAATCAATAGACCCCCAAACCAAGCTACTCACGATTTACTTCCAGCAATTACTGTTGATATTCATGGTAGTGTTGAGTATTGGGATTTGGAGAACAGCTCATTAAGCAAAGAAAAATGAAGTTTTAAAAGTTCTTTTCAAAGTTTGTTCTTTGAGAGTTGTATACATTTATACAACGTGTTTTGATCATATCCATCCCTTAGTCCCTCCCTTCCAACTCTGCTTGTATCCTCCTGCCCCTTCTGAACTCAAAGGGCTATTTTTAAGTCAGTTACTTCTGCTGGTATATACATGGGTTTAGGACAGTCATTTTCTTTTTGTCACCATAATTTGTTAATCACTCACATTTTGAAATGAACATAAACAGTGTGTATGCATTTGACATGAACTTCTAGATAGTTAACTAAGGAGTCTTAATATTCTGTCCATTAAAAATGGAAAGTGTTCTTGAAGCATGGAGAGGAGCTTGGTCCTGCCTTACCTTGATGCCCCATGCTTTGTTCCAGCCCAGTGGAGGAATGGAGACAGAGGAGAATGGATGGTAAAACGAATGAAAAAAAAATGTTATTTAAATAAAATAAGAAATGTATAGTGTTTCCTTGAAAAATCAGTTAACCTGACTATATGTGATCTGGTGAGGGTTTGAAACGAGAACTGAATGTGGGGTAGCCTCTGAAGACAACAGGAGGCTGGAGCTGAGCATGAATGTGTAAACCCAAAGCTCAGCGTGAAGCGGTAAGGAAGGGGCTAGGGGATCTTCTTGTAGGCCAGAATCATCTCCATCTAAATGCTCCGTTCTTCTCTCCTAATGATGCTTCCACCAACACTGTTGACTGACGACCTTGGTGATTCTATTTTATAGAATCTACTACTGATCTTGGAGGGAAGAACCACAGATTGTCTAAATGACACAGCTATTAGTAGAACATCATTTATTAATGGTTGTTAATTATGGGCAGTTACATGCAATTCGTAGCTGGCTTTCTTTTTTCTCTTATTAAAAAGCCTGACTTCAACTAGATGGTAATAATAGTATGAAGACAGCTTAGGTATAATTCTGAATTGTTGGTGTTCATTTACAAACTGCTGTGTTATTATTAATTACAAGTTGACAACTTTTGCTGTACAGCACTGTGTTGGGTACCTGCTTAAAAACAAACAGTGCTTGCTTTGATTTTGTTTTAATATAGTCACTATGATGAATAATCACGTCAAGATTATTTCTTGAGAGGATTTACATATAGGATGTTTTACTCTACATAATGTGGAGGGAATTAGGGTGAAGAGATGAGCTCTAGCAATGTTTACTGCAGCTTTCTTTTCATGGCCCCAGACACACTTTCATTTGCCTCTGTGCATTGAAATGTCTTCACTGAAAACCACCACCAAGAAACAACAAACCTCACCCAGTATGTATGTATGTATATAAGAAGTCAAGACAAGCAAAGGAGAGGTTTTACCTTTCAAAATAGAATTTAAATGCCTTTAATAAAAATAATAAAATTTAATCCCATCCCTAGACTGTCATTCCTGTGACTGGAATCACCTCCTCAGTTTGGTTCCATTTCATTGATCTGGATGACTTTACGTCACAGTTTTAACCAGTGAGAGACTAAAGATCATCTCTCTATCTTCCTTATACTTACACTGTAGCGGGTTCTTCTTTGTAATCCTGTCAGTGCTCTGTCTTTGGACCCTTAATATCTGGCATGGAATTTACAAGATACCTTATAAACATTTGTTAAAATTAGTTTGCAGAACCTAATGTTTGTTAGTGTAAGTGAAAATATCACTAATAACTTTCATAGTTATTAATATATCAGAATATTTGACCTTGAATTAGATGACAGAACTGTGGTTGACACAGCATTGTAGTAGCATAAACTCATATCTGCATAGCCACCTAATATTTGATGAAAGTGTCAAAAGTATACAGAGGGTAGGGGACAGCCTATCAACAAGTTGTTCTAACAAAACTGGATACAACCTGTGGACAGGTGGAATCAGATCCCTATCTCCCACTCCGCACAAAGAAATATTTAAAGAAATATATCAAGGACCTTAATTTAAGATCTAAAATACTAAAATTGCTAGAGGAAAATGGAACACATTTCAAGATACAGGCATTTTAGAACTTGGTGTGTTTGACTCCAGTAGCACAGGGAATAGTCCAGAAAATGAACATGGGAATCCATGAAGTCAAAAAGTTCCTCACATAAGAGGAAGCTATCAGCAAAGTGACCAGATGGCTAAAGAAGGGAGGAAACGTCTTCGTCAGACATGCTTCAGACAGGGTGTGAACCTAGGATACAGAAAGAACTGTGGCCAGTCACCCCAACTGCTGAATGGGCTAATGAAACAGAGTTCTCTAACACGAAGCCCAAGTGGCCTGTGAGTATTTTTAGAAGTGTTCCGGGTGCTGGAAGATGTTCAGTTGATACAGTGCCTGTCACAGAAGCCCGAGGACCACATTTCAGATTCACAGCTCCCACACAAGTCTAGAGGATCAAGTGCGTCTTTACCCCTGGCCGTAGGAGAGTGGAGGCCAGCCAGTTGATGAGCTCTAAGTTTCATGAGACACCTTATCTCAAAAGATAAGGCAGAGAGTGGTTCAGGAAGATATCTGACACCAACCTTTGGCTTCTATAAGCATGTGCACACACAGACGTTATGAATACATAGAATTAAAAAATGGAAATCAGTGTTCCATATCCTTAGCCATCAAGGGAATGGACATTGAAACTGCTTTGAGGAGCTGAGAGATGGCTTCATGGGTAAGATTAATATGTTCCCCTCTGGTCTCTGCATACACACACACATACACACACGCACACACGCACGCACACACGCAATACTCTGCTTTGAGATTACTTCTTAGTCAGAATGTGTAGCATCAAGAAAGCGGGTGACAGCAAATGCATAGGAGGATGTGTGGAAAGAGGAACTCTCATTCACTGATGGTGAGAGAGTACGGTTGTACAGACATTAGTGTGGAGGTTTATCCAGAAATTAAAAGTAGAGCCTAGCCGTATGACTTCTAGACACATTCCCAAAGGACTCTGCATCCTATCACAGACAGATCTGCACATCCATGTTTATTGATGAATTATTCAGAAGGTCAGGGAAGTGGAAACATCATATGTGTCCATCACCATGCATGGGTAAGGAAAACGTTGTATATGTACACAATAAAATTTGATCCATCTGTTAAACAAATGGAGTTGTAAGGTTTCCAGGAAAATGGGTAGATCAGGGAAGTATTGTATTAAGCAGTGTGAGCAGGACTCAGAAAGGCAAGTGTTCTGTGTTCTCTTCCCTGTGGAGATGAGTGTTTGAATCCCCGTGGATATGAGTGTTAGTGTAGACTATAAACTACAAGGGGACCACAGAAAGGAACAGAGTGTGGGGGGTGTGGGAAGGCAGTCGAGCACTTGACAGCAAAGTAGAAAGGAGGCTGCTGGGGTGGAGAAAAGTTAACAAAACCAAATTTTGTTTGAAAATGCCATAATGAGACTTACTACTTTGTATGCTAGTTTTTAAGAGTATGTTAGCACAAAGCCTGACACAGAGGGAATAGTTCAATTAGTTGTTAGCCACTATTAATATAAATATAATATCAACATGTTAATACTTGATCGGCATATTGAAACCAATATAAATATAATATGAGCAAAGATATTAAAATTAAAATTCTTGTCTATGTATTGTAGTTACTATATTGCCTTGATACATTCCTGTAACATAAAATATCAGATGCTAATACCCATTTTCCAAACATAATTTTATTAAAATAATATTGCATTTAAAATTCTTATCACTTAAACCTCACTAGTGAGTTTTCTTATTGGTCTCTTTTCTCAAACCAGATTTGCATCTGCTGGTGATGATGGAATTATAATTGTGTGGAATGCCCAGGTATGTACCAATAAATGTGGACTGTAGAAAACACATGACAGCATGGTTGAATATTTATTCACTAATACTGTGTGGGGTATGTTAACATATTATCATCATTTGAGATTGGTTAATACTTGATAAGGTGAGTTAGAGGTACTCATTTGCAACGGGGACTAGTATTTCATAATAAAGAGAGAAGTTTTAAGTGCTGGTGTGTGTGTGTGTGTGTGCATGTGGGCACAGAGGACAGAGGAGGACATTGAGTGTGCTCTGTTTTTATTTTTCCTTCCTTGCTCCTTCATTCTGGCTATCTGATCTCACTGTCAGTCCTCATTTCCCCGCGGTCCTGATTAGATGGAGGCATCCTTTAGTATCACGCTATCCACCAGGTGGCTCCCATCCTCCTCCGCCCCACACTGTGCTCAAGTGCCCATCTGACACTTTGCATACTCTATACACATCCTCCCGCATACTTAAAATTATTGGTAGATACTTGTTTAGATTATATTTGATTGCTTAAATGTTTTTTGAATTCCAAACACTTAATGTTCAATGGCATGTACATTGATTTTTCTACATAGCTATTCTTATTGCTATTTAAGGCTCTTCAAGTTGGAAAGAGTAAGTTTATTAACATTCTTACTTGTATTTCAGACAGGAGAAAAGCTCCTGGAACTCAGAGGACACACCCAGAAGATAACAGCTGTCATTGCATTTCCTTCCCTGGACTCCCGTGAGGCAGACAGTCAGCTCATCTTGACTGCCTCGGCTGACAGGACTGTCTGTATATCCTTACCCCTAGAGTGTAGTGCATTCCGATGGCAAAATGGTTTCCTTCAAGTCTTCAGGGACCGCTCCCTGAAGTGTTAGGTGACTAGAAGCAGCAGGTCAGGGCCTGTATTCTGAAACCCCATGGCTGAAGCAGCTCTTTCTAGAGTGCAAAATTAGAATTCTAGATTCTGTCATGTCATTGTGCAAAAGGGAGGGATGGAAGTTGTGGGCTTAAAATGCTATCTCAATGTAGGGAAATTAGGATGAATCAGACTGGAAAATAATTTATTTCCTCCTCATGTGTGGCCCTCACTGTGAGAACCTGTATTGCTGCTGTGTTGCTGCTGAGTGGGTCTGCACAGTAGTTAGGTCTTGGTATTTTAAATCAGTTTTTAAAGTGAAGTTACTTTTGCTTTCCCGTAATTTCCAGTTAGCATTTATAACACAACAGAAAAGGTACTGTTCTGTGAAGTGCTCTTGTTTGCTCCAGAATATTGTGTTTTATGTATGTTGACTTATTTAATCTCTAAAATGGCCCTATGGAGTAGGCATTTTCATCATTCTCACAAGTGCGAAGGTAGAGACAGAGTTGGTAAGTCACCCGCCCAAGCCACATGGCGAGTAAGGCCAAGTGGCCATCAGCCTGCCTGCTGTCAGGGTCCTGAAGCTGTGGCAGACACGCTCCTGATACAATATGTGCATAACACACAATGAGGACGTGTCTTTGTGGATCCCATGGCCAAGGCTACGCGTAACTGAGTGTCCATCACTCCCTGTAAAACATCAGATCGGCCAGACAACAAAGTTCAGTTGAGTTTCGAAGTGAGATCAGAAGAGGACATGTGACTTGATGTCCCACTTTGAGTGAGCTCAACAGCTGTATCAGTTTCTAGATAAAACATTTTATCTATAGGGAGAAAACATGTAAGCAGGATCATCTCCGTGTGCTCATGCCATTCAGTCAGATACTTGGGCAGGGTTAGACTTAGCACTGCTGTCCTTCTCGGGAACATATTATGTCATGGATTCAAGCTTTTGTTCTTTTCTCTTTGTTACAATTTCTGCAGAAGTAGGATTTAAAATGCAGCATCTTTTTAGGCCATTTCTAAGACGCTGTACTACTATTAGAGACAATTATTAAAATTGCTGTCATAGTACAAGGTAAGGTGCTGGGACACTTACCTTGTATGCAGTGGCATCGTCACATAGCCATCCAAGTTACTCTTATTTTTAAAAAAATCCCAGAGAACCTTGACTTTCATTTTATCCAGATGGATTCTAAATTTACTCTCCTTGGACCTCCATTGTTAATTAACTCTTTGTTAAATGTTGATGGTAGATTTATTTTTAGTTTTTGGTCAAGTAATAGTCTTAAGATTCCACATTTCATAGTACTTTTAAACAGTAAATTCTTAAGCTTTTAAATAGTGAATCTGTGGAAAAGCTGTGAGGGGGGTGTTGGAACTGGAAAACTTAAGGCCAGAAAGCAGCATTTAATTAGGGAGAGAGTTTTTTTTTAATGACTGAGTGGTTGGTTTCCTGTGACACAAGCATATGAATATATAGGTACCTCCCTTTTTCAACTCCCTATAGTTGAAAACTGAAGTAGAATTAATAAAAAAATCAGATATTATAATATTAACTAGATTATGAAATTGACTTTAAAATGTTAACATAAGATATATGTCAGACATGCTATAAGATGTATTTGACATACATTTATATTATTTACAAGTATAAGATATGATGTTTATATGTATATGATATGGAGTATAACACCATAGGAAGTAGTGTTAAAAGTTTATAACGATCATCATGCTCCTTAAGTCAAACTAGACCCTTACAGTTACCTTCAGCACGTACAGTCCCAGGAACACCAGTTCCTGCTATGACAGTGGCAAACCATGCGTGCACACGGTAGTGACGTTTCATTAACTGCTGGGAGGTGGTGCACACACTTGTCCTCAGCAGATGTGATGCCCGTGGGGATTAGTGTTTCAGGGCACTCTCTCTGCTGCACCCTCAAATGGCCTCGGATACAGCTGTGGCATGCTAAGCCTCCCCCTGAGGCGATGACCTGCCTTGCAGATCTATGGCGGTATCCACTGATAGCTTAGATTTTATTTAAAGATTATCTGCCTGTTTACACTTGTGATTTAATTGTTAATTTGAAATATTGTCTCATAATTAAAGTTTTAAATTCATTTTGGAAAAGATTTCTTAACATCAGTGTAAGTTTGGGACTGTGACACTGGCAGACAAATCCAGAGAGTCTCCTGTTTCCAGTCTACTGTAAAGGTAAAGTCTGAAGCAAATTCGTCTTCTTATGCTAGTATTTTTGTTGTTGTTCTCAAAATGATTTAATAAGTTAGATGAAATTACTTATTTAGGTTTTGCACATTATTGCTTTCACACTGACAACCATTTGATTTTAAGACACGATTTTTGGGATCATATGTATTTAAGTATGAGAATGTTTCAGTTGGAAATGAGAGCAGGGGCAAGACAAATGAGAAGGTGGGGCCTGGTGGGTTTGTGGTGGGTGGGGCCTGGTGGGTTTGTAGTAGGCGGGGCCTGGTAGAAGGAGACAGCATCTACAGAACTGTAGCAGAAGCTGTTCTGTTTTTATGCTTTTACCAAGAGAGAGGGAGGCATTTGTTCCCCGACCTCTACCTTCTCTAAGGCCCTGAGGACATGTTGGTTTCTTGTTTCCCAAATCAATAATTGTAATGTGTTGATGCCATTTATTTCATTTTTATAAACATATAAATTGGGACTTTTATGGCAGAATACTGCCAATGTGAGAGAAATAAATGTAGCTAAGTCTTGTTTCCTTGTAATTCCTACAGGAAAAATGTTGTTTGTTCTGGGGGAGTTTACACTGGTCTCTGCTAGCCAGTTTGGGAAAGGCACCAGTTCAAGGCATCTCCTCCACAGCTTTGGGGACAGCTGGCTTTCTGACAGCCGGCCATTGTCCCTTTTTTTGCTGCGTGCCAGTAGTCAGGCTCATTCATTATTTTCTAGAAACGTAGCACCCTGTGCTGTTATGATGCCAGTTTGCTGAAGTTCCTGTGGAAGACAGTGGCCTGTGCTGTGTTCTTACTAATCTAACAGTCGGGTGTCTGAAGAAGTCACCAAAGAACTTGCTGTATTTTATATGATATGAAAAAAGTGTTACTTTTGCATTGCTTTAAAAATATTTACTATTTGAAAAGCTAAAATCATTAGTTTTCAAGTGAAAATCCTTGATTTGAAGGAACAGAGAACAAACAGTAAGATGATGAGTCAGGGGATCCATTTGGGAGTAAGAGGGAGTTGTCAAATAAAGTATGCCTGTGTGGTAAAAGTACTTTCAAAAGAGGTTTTTGTATTTGCTTGCTCCTGCTGTGTGTTTGTTTCACACAAAACTATTTACAAATAAAATCTGATCACAGTAGTTCAGTGCTTCAGTTTTACTTAGGTGGCTTCTCAGAGCAACTCAGATCTACAATATAACTCTTTGTCATTTTTTTGACCAAATAAAGTTTTAGTTGAAGATTGGAGTCAGCAAGGAGTTGTAGTAAAATTGGCTTTTTCTTTCCCTGCTTGTTTGGAGATAAATAGGTATGTTTTTCTTGGAAGGCAGAGCGGTGTTATAAAGGCTCTAAAACAGCAGTTTCCAACCTGTGGGTCGAGACCCCTTTGGGGAATCACATATCAGATATCCTGCATACCAGATATTCACGTTACAATTCATAACAGCAGCAAAACTAGTTATGAAGTAGCAACAAAATAATTTATGGTTGGGGGTCCCCACAACAGGAGGAGCTGTATAAAGGTTCTCAGCATTGGGAGGGTTGGGAACCACTGCTCTAAAAAGTGAGTGTATGCATCAAATCAGTGTTCTTCTTCAGGGAAACAATGGGAAATAAAGGTGCAGTCTCACCATGAAGATACTTTATACTCCAAGATGACGCAGCACAGGTCACTGATGAAACCCTAATGAATGAATACTGAAGGCAGCAGACTGGATGCTTTCCCCCTAAGGCCAGGAATAAAAGAGGAATCTCCTATCTCAGCCCACATCTGTTTAGCGTGCACTGAAGTATCTGGACAACAAAATTAGGCAATAAAAATGAGTGGTTATTTATGACTCTTTTATGGAAAAGAAGAACTGAAACTTTCTGTATTTATATGTGACATGACCTTATATGTAAAAAATCATAAATCCACACAAATTGTTAAAGCTAGTAAATTATCTTAGCAAGGTTTCAGGGCACATGGTTGACAATACAAAAATAGTTGTAATTTTCTAAAATCAGATGGAGAAAATTCTATTCACAGTAACACCCAAAAGAACAAAATGCTTAGTTTTTAAAAGTAAGGAATTTATACATTAAAGTCTTTAAAACATTGTCCAGTGAAATTTAATTGTAAACAAATTGAAAACTTGGGAGCTGGAAGAGAGGGCTCAGTGGTTAAAAGCACCTGTTGTTCTTACAGAGGACCCAGGTTCGATACCCAGCACCCACATGGTGGCTCCGGTTCCAGGGCACCCAGGCCTCCTGTGGGGCAAGCATGCACGTGATCTACATATGTATCTGCAGGCAAAATACTCACACAAATAATCTAGAAAAAGTTAACTGGAAAACTATCATATGTTCATGAGGTAGATTTAATATTAAGATTTAAACACTGCTCAAAACGACCTGCAAATGGAATATAATCTATCATAAAATTAAATCTGGCTTTTTGTTTCAGAAAGGAACAAACTAACCTGAAACTTGATATGGAAGTATAAAGGATCCAGAATAAACAAAACGTTCTGGAGGGAGAACAGATAGATGTGAGACAATTCCTAATTCTAAAACTTCCTTAAAGATACAGTATTAAGACAGTGTGAAACTGGCATAATGATGTAGAAATACAGATCAATGGGATAGGATTGAGGGTTCAAAAACAAAACCTCACACATATAGACAGTTTGTTTACAAGGGAACCAACACCTTCCAATGGTAGAAAGACTAGTCTTTACTAAGTAAGGTGAGCCAGGTGTAATGGTCATATCTGAACTTCCTGCTATGGGAGGCTGGGGTAGAATAATTTGAATTCATGAGTTAAAGATCAGCCTGGGCAACATAGTGAGATTCTGTCTAAAGGGGAAAGAAAAAGCAGAATCAGATGAACATATACATATAAAAAGGAATAGATTCAATTGGTACCAAGTGATACATTGGGCTAATTAAGTGGAAACTTTTGCTCTTCAAAGAATACCATTGACAAATTGAAAGTACATCCCCCAAAATGGTATATGCGTGTATATATGTAAATCATTTATCAAGCATGTATCTAAAGTGTGCAAAGACCTCTTAACAAAAAAAGTAGCACAATTAAGAATAATTCTCCAGAAAAGAAATGCAAATGGGTAATAAATGCATGAGAAAAGGTTCGTCATCATTAGTGAGAGAAATGTGAATAAAAGCCGTGATAGGAGCCAGGCGGTGGTGGCACACACCTTTAATCCCAGCACTTGGGAGGCAGAGGCAGGCAGATCTCTGTGAGTTCGAGGCCGGGCTGGACCGACAGCCTCCAAAACAGAGAAACCCTGTCTCGTAAAACCAAAAAAAAAAAAAAAAAAAAAAAGGTGTGATGGACTACTATTTCGTACATACTGGTACCACTTATGTCTAAAAGACGGGGTTTGAGTGTTGGTAGCACATAGAAAATCGTCTCCACTCCTCCGACCCTTCCCTTTCCCCCAGATCTATCCCTCTCCATGTCCCTTCAGGCTAACAGCCATGACATCATGTATGCAGAAAACCTAGGGAAGGCCCATGCAGGCTCAGTGATTGCTTCTTTGTAGTTCTACTTAGTTGAAGTCTGTACTGATTGTTAAACAATGATCCCCTCGTGTATAGTGTCACCCCAAATGAAAGCATGCCCACACATATGTGGATAGTGAATGTTCAGAGCACCAGCACCCATAGTAGTTAAAAAGAGCACTAACCTAAACATCCATCAGTTAATGAATGGATAAGCAGAATGTACATATCCACACAATAGATTATTGCTTGCCAACAAACAGAACGAAGAGCTAATGTAGAACCCAGAGACTGGACAGGGTAGATGCTCTTAAAATATAAGCTGAGTTTGATTGCTTTCGACTTTCTCTTTCATCTGTTGTAAAAGCAGCCTCATCCTGAGCCCTGGAAAGAACATCACACCCCCTTCTTTCTAAGCCCTTGTCCCTGTTCTCAGAGTCAGTGGGTGACAACATGCTCTTGAAGAAAGGGGCCCTACGGTACCATGTAAAGTATTCTACATCCTGGAAACACTTTAAATCTACTAAAAGGATTACTAAGAATTAATTAAAAATTAAAATCCAGTATCCTATTCTCCATTTTATTTTGAAGGCCTTTAAGGATTGTGAGGATATTATCTGTGAGTGGTTTCCAAGTCACATGAAATCTTGGTGGCTTAAAGCTATAATGAACATGCAGTGTCTGTTGTCAGGAACAGAGAGCCTCTTAGCCAAGTGGTGCTGGCTCAGGCTCTCATGACTGTTACCAGAAGGCTTGTCCGATGGCATGGTAAATTGCTGCTCTGTGTTGTTTAAAAGATTCCTGCTGTGGGACCTTTAGTGTCACCTTGGGGCAGGTACCCAGATACCTTTTAGCCTCCTTTGGCTGTACTGAACCCATGATCCCACTTCCAGATCCTTTTGACTTTTGTCAACTACAAGGGAAGTCCCTGGTATAGCTAGTGACCTGTGACTTGGTGGGCCATGCATCTCCATATTGACCCTCTGGTACAGGCCTTTGCTCATTCTACATCATGGCACCGAGGAAGAGGAAAGTCCCAGTGTTGACTGTGGCCTTACAGATCACATGGCTATGACTGCCTCACAGATCACATGGCCCCTCTGCTCCGTATTCTGTGAGACAGTATTCTCTTAAAGAGCTCATAATCAGAAAGAAGTCAAACAAACTGCCTATCAAAGGGAGGGGCTTGGAAGAACTTGGGGACACAATTTAAAACCATGGAACATGGAATGCTAGAATTTCTAAGCTGGTAATACATTTCAAATCAATTTTGCAGTGCTTAACTGTTCTTCAGGGACTAGACGTTTGGCTCTCGGGTGGTAATGACTTAGGTGTGTGGAACCGAAAATTGGATCTGCTGTGTAAGACCAACCACCTTTCTGATACAGGTAAAAACCAATCATGGTAATTACGAGATGCGATTGATTATAAAAAACAGTTGAATTTTTAAAGAGACATATCGCAATATAATGTGATAATTTCATGTAGAAATTGTTTAGTTCTGAGGATTGTGGGTAGCTATATGTGATTAGTATTTTCATGTGACAAATAATTTAATGAACATTTATATTTGCATGTATCTTATTTATACCAAGTATTGGGTTTCACACGTGGATACAGTGTATTTTGATGCTATCTACCCATCCTGTCACTCTCTCTTGTCGGCCCTACCTTTGCACTAGTCTTTTCTTCTTCCCAAAAGTCGTTCTCCTTCTGCATGTGACAGAAGATGTGTACTTTTGTCTTCCCACATCTGGCTTATTTTACTTACAGTGATGACCTTCAATATCATCTACTTCCTTGAAATAACAGGGTTTTGTTTTTTATGGCTGATAATATTGCACTGTATGTGCATATCGCATAATCTTTGTCCATTCATCCATTGACGAACACATAGGCTGACTCCATAAACTCCCTATGTTAAATAGTGTCACAGTGAACATGGCTGCGTAGGATCTCTTTTACATGATAACCTTCGGTTACTTTCAATATATATCTAACCCAAAGTGTGGGATAGCAGGGCCAGGATCACTTAATAATATTCTACAGTATATATATTTTTATATGTGTGTAAACATATGTGTGTGTGTGTTTTGTGTACATGTGTGCATAGGATATGACACATGTATGAAGGTCAGAGGACAACTAATGTGAATCCTTGTCTTATACCATGTGGGTTCCAGGGTCAACAGGTCCTCAGGCTTGGTGGCAGGTACATTTATCCACTGAGCCATCTCACTGGCCCCTTAGTGAACATTTCCTACATTTAAAGTTATTCTTGAAGAAGGAAGATTTTCACAAGTTTGAGGCCAGCCTGGACTATGAGTGAGACCCCCATCTAAAAAACAACAAATAAACATGCAAAAATATTCTCCTTCCCCTTCCATGCCCTTCTCTTGTGCTTTCTCACATTTCTTCCACGTGTTCACAGAGCATACGTGTAAAATATTCCCACTCGGAGGAGAAATTAGGGCAGAAATCCTCTTGACATCCTAACAGTGCTGCTAGTCTTTGGCAGGTAGGAAGGAAAAGAAGTGGGACATCCCTACTTGCATATATGTTAAAAATTACTCATAAATTATATATAGCAAAGAGGAAAGACTAACTTTATTAAATAGTGTTCTAGTGTTTCAACTTCTAACACTTGAAGTTATGGTTAGTCTGAAACCATTTTATGATTCAGGCATGAAAATATATTCAGTACTCGATGTTTAAGGCCAAGGACAGTGTGGTGAGCAGCAATCCAGCTACTTGGAGGCTGACAAGGAGTACCCGAACCCGGGACTGTGATAAGCCAGTCTGGACAACAGCAGCAACTGAACCCAACTGACTACAGATTCCACACATGAATGAATGAAGTGTGGTGGTATATAAGCTAGTCATTTCAGTACTCAAGTCATTTTGGAAATGTTCTATTTAGCCGTAAATGTGCTGTTTGAAGGCCATTTCTTTGGCTGCTGACTAGAGGGTAGCGCATTACGCTCAGACTAACCCTGCTCCATAGCAGAACCACTCCCTCTGTGTTCTTCTTCAAATGCTTAGCAGTCGGGGTTTCAGGAGAAAATAACCAGCTGGCGGTCTTCCTCAGACTGACACTGTCTTCCTGGAGGTAGTGACCAAAGGCTCAGTCCTCAGTAGTTCCTTATCCCATCGTTTCATTGGCATGCCCTGTTTTGTTTTGTTTGTTTTTTAGATTTTGAGGCCCCAGTTACAAACCAGGATTCAGTTTGCTAGAGTAGTTTACAGAACTAAGGGGAGCGCATTTACCCACCTATGCTCTACCATGAGAGTAGCAAAGAAAAACTAGGGCGGGTGAGAAGAAGGGGCACAGAACCATTGCATCACTAAATGCGCCACCCTGCAGGGACTGCCTAATGTCCAGCTTTACCAAACCTGTCTAAATCCCATCCGGGTTTTTATGGAGGCTTTGTTCTGTAGATGTGGATAATCAAACCATTGGTTACTAGTGACCAACATCTTCTTCTGCCCCTCTCTCCTTGGAAGTTGAGGGGTGAGGCAGGAAGTACCAACTTTCTCCTCCTGCCTTGGCCCTTCTAGTGAGCGACTCTCATCCCACAGCTACCAGGGACTGACCAGATACTAGTCATCTCACTGGGACACAGAAAGACCATGTCTTCAGAGAGCCGAAGGGTTTTAGGAGTTGTGTAAGGAGACAGGATGGAGGCCAGATATGGCTTTTCAGTTATCACATTAGCTCGTTTAGTGCCAGTGAGCAAGTATATAGTCTTAAAGTTACATGGAGGGATGTAGCATAGTATTCCCCGCCAGCCGCCTGGGCCCTGCTACAGTTTCAGCCCCCAAATAACACACAAGACACTATATTAATAATGAAGCTGTTGGTTGTTTGCTTGGTTTCTTATCGGCTAGATCTGACTTGATTATTAACCCATAATTACTTGTATATATTTTACAAGAACTTATCTTTGCTAGGACGCACTTCTGCTGAGTCCATTCCTCCCGGGAGTCACATGGCGACCAGCTTTCTTCACTACATTTCCCCAAATCCTCCTAGACTCCTAGTCCCACCTATCTTGCTTCCCTATTGGCCAACAGTGCTTTATTTACATATACACAGGACTTCCCCATCAGAGGAAAAAAATCGATTTATCTTGTTATGTGGTAGTTGATGGTGATTATAGCATGTTGAATATATTGTGTTACCACCACAGGAGAAATATTCAGAGCCTACTTACATATTTAAAAAAGTCTTGCATAGGTATAAGAAACTTACTTATAACTCACTTTCCATGTATAAGCAAGAAAGGAAGTGTTTATGTAGCAGGTTTCAAATATGTTTTATGGGAAATGACTAACATAAAATTGAGAAAGTTTTGTTTTGATATAACCCATGAGAGATAATGATTCACCTTATATTTTTTCTGAAGGGATCAGTGCTTTGGTTGAAATCCCTAGGAATTGTGTTGTAGCAGCAGTTGGCAAAGAACTGAGTAAGTATATATGTTTTCTTTATGTTTGTGCACAATACATGTCTATATAGCTACATGAATACACATATATGGGGGTGCTAGAAAGACAAAAGCAGTTTTATTTCAGAGATGTCTGCCTCTGTCCTTGTTCTGGCTTCTTGGGGTTGTTGAGAGATACAGAGTGAACCAATTTCAAAGTATTAGGTAAGATTTCTTCTCACCAATATGTTACACTATTGCTTTATCCTTTTATTTAGCAGTAGTGTTTTCACTCCGTGTTTATCAATGTCAAGAAGACTTCTCTTTGCTTAGCTGAGAGAACTTCTGGCAGCCACATTCGAATATGAAAGGCTATTAGAATGTAATAATCTTGCAAATTATTTGACAGTTGGCGAAATATTGTCAGAGGTACAGGAAGAAATGTGCTATGACCTATTTTCCAGGGAGGAATTTGAGGAAAATAGAGACTTGGATAGCTGATTAACACCACTTGGAAAGGCTGTGAGACCTTAGGACTATTTCTATCAGGCCTGCCTGTCAGAGCACACAGATGTCCAGTGTCCTCTCAGCACATAGATGTCCAGTGTCCTCTTAGCACATAGATGTCCAGTGTCCTGTCGGAGCACATAGATGTCCAGTGTCCTGTCAGAGCACATAGATGTCCAGTGTCCTATGAGAGCACACAGATGTCCATTGTCCAGTCAGAGCACACAGATGTCCAGCATCCTGTCAGAGCACATAGGTGTCCAGTGTCCTGTCAGAGCACATAGATGTCCAGTGTCCTGTCAGAGGACACAGATGTCCAGTGTCCTGTCAGAGCACATAGATGTCCAGTGTCCTGTCAGAGCACATAGATGTCCAGTGTCCTATGAGAGCACACAGATGTCCAGTGTCCAGTCAGAGCACACAGATGTCCAGTGTCCTGTCAGAGCACACAGATGTCCAGTGTCCTGTCAGAGCACACAGATGTCCAGTGTCCTATGTGAGCACACAGATGTCCAGTGTCCTGTCAGAGAACACAGATGTCCAGTGTCCTGTCAGAGCACACAGATGTCCAGTGTCCTGTCAGAGCACACAGATGTCCAGTGTCCTGTCAGAGCACACAGATGTCCAGTGTCCTGTCAGAGCACACAGATGTCCAGTGTCCTGTCAGAGCACACAGATGTCCAGTGTCCTGTCAGAGCACACAGATGTCCAGTGTCCTGTCAGAGCACACAGATGTCCAGTGTCCTGTCAGAGCACACAGATGTCCAGTGTCCTGTCAGAGCACACAGATGTCCAGTGTCCTGTCAGAGCACACAGATGTCCAGTGTCCTGTCAGAGCACACAGATGTCCAGTGTCCTATGAGAGCACATAGATGTCCAGTGTCCTATGAGAGCACACAGATGTCCAGTGTCCTGTCAGAGCACACAGATGTCCATTGTCCTATGAGAGCACACAGATGTCCATTGTCCTATGAGAGCACACAGATGTCCAGTGTCCTGTCAGAGCACACAGATGTCCAGTGTCCTGTCAGAGCACACAGATGTCCAGTGTCCTGTCAGAGCACATAGATGTCCAGTGTCCTGTCAGAGCACACAGATGTCCAGTGTCCTGTCAGAGCACATAGATGTCCAGTGTCCTGTCAGAGCACACAGATGTCCAGTGTCCTGTCAGAGCACACAGATGTCCAGTGTCCTGTCAGAGCACACAGATGTCCAGTGTCCTGTCAGAGCACACAGATGTCCAGTGTCCTGTCAGAGCACACAGATGTCCAGTGTCCTGTCAGAGCACACAGATGTCCAGTGTCCTGTCAGAGCACACAGATGTCCAGTGTCCTGTCAGAGCACACAGATGTCCAGTGTCCTGTCAGAGCACACAGATGTCCAGTGTCCTGTCAGAGGACATAGATGTCCAGTGTCCTGTCAGAGCACATAGATGTCCAGTGTCCTGTCAGAGCACACAGATGTCCAGTGTCCTGTCAGAGCACATAGTATACTGATGATCAGCCTGTACATGGGTCTCATGTCTGCTGTAGACTGTTGAGCATTTGGGGGCAGTAACTGGGCCTGTTCACTTTTGGAAGCTAGAATTCCTAGAATGTCATAGATGTGCTGTAAATGTTGGTTGATAAAACCACTTGATTTGATATTATGTTTTTGATTAAAGTTAGAATTTGTAGTTTAAATATAAGTATTTTTATTTCCTTTTCTCTTCTTTTTGAGACAGTTTTGGCTGTCCCAGAACTCTGTGTGTAGACCAGGCTGACCTCAAACTCAGAGATCTGCCTGTCTCTGCCTTGCAAGTGCTGGGATTAAAGGCATGCACCACCACCACCTGGATAAATTAAACTATTTTTTAAAGTCAGATAATAAATCAAGTAACACAGTCAACATCTATAGTCAAGAAATTGGAAGCTCTATTCTCAGATTTGTAATTTAATAGTATATGCCTCAAACTGAAAAGCCCTTTTGTCTTGTTTAACTGCTATTTTTATCTTTTGCCAGCTGCTGAAGCCTTTGCTAAGTTGAAGGGCAGAGAATCTGTGGCTTGTTTTGTAGCAGTACACAGTAGCCTGGCCACGTGTAGAGAGCACTGATACTGGAAATGACCCAGGAGAGTGGCCCGCCACTGGCCTGGGTAGGAATGGAGTGATAACTGCTGATGTGTGATGAGGCCTTGGGGAAAGTGGAGGTGTCAGTGTGGGTTTGGTATGTCAGCAAAGGAAACAGAGCAAAGGAAACCAGGCTTGTAGTTTGCAGAGATTATTTAAGCGGCTCAAGCACTTGAAAGAAATGGTGTAAACTGGTATAAACAGCTTCTTTTTAAAGTTTTTTTTTCTCAGTGTGATGTATACTTTGTATACTTTATACATGTATACTTTAATGCTTTTTGAAGAGAAAGGTATTTTATGTTCTTTAACCATTTAGTACAATAACTGTCTTTTAGTAATTTTTAGATTAGTAGCTCCCTCGGAAGGCTTGCTGGAATGGGATATCATTGAGGTTAAACGCCTTCTTGATCACCAGGATAATATTCTGTCATTGGTTAACATCAATGGTAAGCTCTTTGTGTACACTATGTTATTTACAATTTCAGATTTTCCTTCTTGTTTTGTTCCAGTATTTTAGAATTACTGCTCACATAATAGTTTGTTTCAGTGGAGATTGTTGTTATCTCTTACTCTAAGCTCTGAGACAGTAGAGCCTGTCAAGTCTCATAGTGTGGCAGGTCTAACACTTAGGCATGGCAGATAGAGTACCGTGTAACTGTCCTAAGGTACTGCTTGACCGCTGTGGATGCTCACTATACACAAGCCGTGAATTCTGTTGCTTGTAGCATTTTAGCATCCTTCATGAATGACTCTGGCTCCATCACTACCAATGAGCTGAGTATGACATCAGATGGCAGGAGAGGATCACAAACTCTGCCTCTGGTGGATAAATGACAACTCATATCATCAGAACTGAACTGGGTGCTCTGTAGGAATCAGACAAGAGTTCTGGTGGAGGTTGCAAGCAGGTCATGTAAGATTGCTGGGAATATGCCAGCAGGAGAAGGTACAGCTCCCAAGCCCCTGGAAATCTGGAGCTTGGCTGGCTCCTTTGGAGGAACATGTTCTATGAACATGAGACAGAGGTGAAAGGGGGTATGGAGGACACCAAATGTAGACTTGCTTTGTGTCTTCCGTGCCTTCCGGTCCTATTTTCAGATGTGTTGGTTTGCGTCCTTCCCTGCTTCAGAATCTTGCCCTCAGCAGCCAGCATCTCACAAAGCTCAGTTGCATGTCTTCCCAAAGATCAGACTGTCTGTTGTGCTGGGAGCACCAGTGGTCATGCAACTCTTTGTATCCAGAGACTGTTTTTGCTATCCATGAACGGTAGCTCAGAAGGCAAGCTCTTATGTGGGGAACCCTTTAAGCAGCCTTGGAAATACTAAACCACGACAAGGTCCTGGAGCTTCTACAAAAGGCAGGACAGGTTCTGGCCCGTCGTGTTGGTTATGTCTAGTTACATGTCTTATTTTAGTGGTGAAGCCCTGGCATCATCGAAACAAAGTGGTTACTTAAAGGAAGAGACCAGATATTACCGAGTAAGCCTTAGTTAGCTTCACAGTCCAGCTTTTGCTGTGCAGTAGCCAGCTACGCTTATAACTTCTTATACTTTTTATTTTACTTTCCTTTTTGCTGAGGTGAGAAGCCAATGCATTCTAAGCAAGTGTGTACAACTGAGCTACCTCAACCTGAGGCTTCTGAACATTTGAAATTTAAGCTCCCCCTTCACTTCCTTCCCTGAAAGGTTCTCTCTGTGAAACCCATGCTGACCTTGAACTTACAATCTTTCTGCTTCTGCCTCTATAGTCCTGCTGTTACAAGCCTGGACTACCACACAGCTCTTAGTCAGGATCTTATGGAAAGCTAAAGAGAAATTACTAATTAATTAATTGTTAATGAAGGTCACAGAAAATTCCATAGTACTTTTTACTTTATAAACTGTAAAACTGAACTGCAAATAATAAATACGGCAAAGTACTTTCAGGAATCACGAACGGTTGGGTAGTCTGGTGACTTTTGAAAGATTTTCAACTTTGTATGATTGAGTCCTGTAATTCCCCACTTCACTCTCTCCCCGATTCTTCCCACACACCGCAACAAAAGTGCATTTAAAAAAAAAAAAGAAAAACAACAACTAAACTATTTATTGTCAGGAGATGGTGGCACACACCTTTAATCCAGCCCCAGGGAGGTAGAGGAAGGCAGATTTCTGAGTTCGAGGCCAGCCTGGTCTATGGAGTGTGTTCCAGTACACAAAGGAACCTTGTCTTAATATCCAAAAATAAATTAAAAAATATATAATTATGCTATTTTTCCCTTGCCATTCCTCCCTTCAAACCTTCCCATATATCTTTCCTTCTTCTCTTTAAAATTCATGACCTTGTTTTTCATTCATTGTTGTTACGTGTGTGTGTGTGTGTGTGTGTGTGTGTGTGTGTGTGTGTGTAACCAGGACCTGCTAAGTCTGTGTAATGTTACTTGTGTGTATGTTTTCACCGATGACCCTTTGGTACTTTTATAGCTTGGAAAGAAGGCTCAGTGGGATGGAGGGCTTGCTGTGCGAGCATGAGGACGGCTCTCCACAACTCTTAGAAAGAGACACTGAGTCTTTAGCGGAATCAAGGGCTGAAAGTGGGGAAGGGAAAGTTGTGGGGACTTGTTGGCTCTCAGCCTAGCTAAAAACCAGTGAGCTAAAACAGTGAGACCCTGTCTAAGGGAATCAGGCGGAGAGCTATGCAGGGCGTCCAAACTCTCCTCTCACCTCTACCTGAGTGTACAGAAGTCCACATATCTGCATACATACATGCAACATAGAAACAAAACACACACACACACACACACACTTTTCTAAAAAGAAGTGCATTTTTGGTGAGGTGACCCCAAAGTGGTCTTGGAATGATATACTTGAACCCCCAAAATACGCTTGCTGTGTGCCAAATTTGCTGAAGGGGTCTGAATGCCTGGGGGGTCCTGAGACATAAGCTGACGTTCCTACCCTCTTCTGACTAAGCGCTCTATGCATTCATTCATTCCTTTGCTCGTTCTGTGCTGACAGGATGATGATGAAAAAGATTAATGCTGTGAGGTATGGACAGATGGGATGCCGGGAGAGATTTTCCTAAGTGAGTTACGAAACTACAGGATGAAAGACACCCACTGTTAGAACATCACTGAGTATGTTTGGTGTGAAACTTTTTGAGCCACCTGTCTGGAAGTACAAATAGCTCACACAGGGAGAAACTGTATGCTTTAGCTTTTAGTGAAAAGACTCAAGAGGTCATTGATACTGTGTTTCTGTTGTGTAAAAGAATCACAGAGGGGACAGCTGTGTGGTCTCAAAGTTTTAATTCTGTGATGACTACAGCCCCAGACCTGCAGTCAAGGAGTGTCCTTTTCACCCTTAAGTTATCTGATTCTTTTGGAACAAAGTGAAATTGGAGGAGGCCATGGAAAGAGTAGTGAAGTACCCCAAACTGCCATAGTGTTAAAACCAGAAAGTTGTTTTTTCCTGGAGATCATAAGTAAACTTATTTCTTTACACAGCACATTCTATAGTGTGTCAGTAACTACAAACATCAGTAACTACAGACATCAATAAGCTGCCTGTTATGACTCCGAGACCAAGATAAAAATAATGTTCATATCTAGTTGGCTAGTGACTTTTATTTCTGAGATATTGTTCATCTGGCTATGGCAGACTTCTGTCCTGTTTGTTTATTTAACAGATAGAATAATGAAGTTATAATTATCTACCTGTGTATTCCTAAGTTGTAAATCACTGTACATTTAAATATTATTAATGTAGAGGAATACCTATACTCAAAATAACATTAGATTTTAAAAAGCTAGATATTTATTATTTAATTTGTTTTCTATGATCATCCTTATTTAATGCATGAAGAATCTAAGACAGAGAAAAGTTGATGATTTTGTTTGAGACTATCTGGCTAGTAGCAGGCAGAGCCAGAGCTGTGACTTGAGTTCTCTGTCCTGACATACCTTGAACATGTAAGAGTAGTAATAAATCCCATTAGAGAGATAATTTTTAGTATAGCAGTTGCATAGTATCTATTAAAGATTTGAGGGTTTTAAAATTTATTGTTTTATAAGTAAAACAGAGTCATACTAAAATATGATAATAGCAAGAAACAGAATTAAAATGGATTTAAAATGAAAATTGTACCATCATTCAGTATCAAACACTAGTCCATATCTTTTATGTATTTCCTGTGTATGTACATATGTGCATTTGTATGTAATGTATACATGGTTTACTGACGGGTTTTTGTTTTGCTTTGCTTTTTTTTTTTGTTTGTTTGTTTTTTTGTTTCTTGGGACAGGGTTTCTCTGTGTAGCCCTGGCTGTCCTGGAACTCACTCTGTAGACCAGGCTGGCTTCGAACTCACAGAGATCCACCTGCCTCTGCCTCTGCCTCCCAAGTGCTGGGATTAAAGGCTTGAGCCACAACCACATGGCAGTTTACTGTTTATAAGAGTATGGTATGAACATAGTTCCATACCAATATAAATATACTTTTACAGCTTAGTTTTCAGTAGTTAGTATTATTTTATTTTATGGTTGTTATATTTAGCCCACAGTTGGATATTTAGGCTGACCTATAATTCTTAGGGTTATGTCTTGCAGCTTTGTACATAGATTGTTATGCATTTCCCTCAGGATAAATTTCTTGAATTGGAAATGGTGGATCAATGTGTTTGTTATTTTACAATTTGACCCCTGTCTTTGAAATAATTGCGTGATGTTGTGCCGAAATGTATTAAAATGTATTAAGACATTAGTAGTATGTAAACACACTGATTCCCACATATTCCTCCCCTATGCTGTATATATCATTTAAAATTTCTTTGATTGTTAAAATAGTTTAAAATATTATCACATATTTATTTTTCATCTGTTTTCTTATTCTTAGTAATTCCTGTGAGTGCAATATCCACTGAGAATAATGAACCATTTTGGTATTTGAGTTACCAATTCTCCCCCATTTTAAAAAATTCTTTTTTTAATTTAAATTCGAAACAAGCTTGCTTCACATGTCACTCCCAGCTCCCTCTCCCTGCCCTCCCCCTTCCCCCTCTCCCGAGCCCCTCCACCCCCTACCCAATCCCCACTCCCTAGGGAGGGTGAGGCCCTCCATGGGGGATCTCCAGAGTCTGTCATATCGTCCAGGGCAGGGCACACTCCCCCATGTGTCCAGGCTGAGAGAGCATCTCTCCATGTTCTCCCCACTTTTTAAATATGTGCAGATATTTCCTTGTGTGTCTTCTCCTGTCCTGCTTCTCTTAGTGTCCTCTAACCACTCTGTAACCGTAGAACTACTTACCTTATTTTAGCCACACCCATAGGTACCCTCAGTGTTTTAATTGACAAATTTTTAGCATTTCATTTAAGATTCTTTTATTTTTATTCCTGTGAAACTTGACCAAACATTATAGATGACATTTTTATTGGCACAAACTGTAGTATTTATCTTCAGTCAGTGAACTAGTCTATTTCTGGCTTCTTAGTGTCATATTAATCTTTCTGTGTGGCTTGTCTAGGAACAATTAGGAAGCCCATTCAATTTTATCTTTAGTCTAGAGAACATGATCAGTAATAGAACACTTATGAACTTTTCTAGATAAGAGTTTCATCACTGGCTCCCATGTTGGAGAGCTGATCATCTGGGACGCCCTGGACTGGACTGTGCAGGCCTGTGAGCGCAGCTTCTGGAACCCATCTCCACAGCCGGATGCCCAGCAAGAAATAAAACTCTGCCAAAAACAAAATGACATTTCTATTAATCATTTCACATGTGATGAAGAGGTAAAGAGAATAAATTATAATTGTTACAAATAGAATCTGCTATTTAAAGCCTAGTATGCTGGACATATGATTCTGGGATGCTGAGAGGGGCAAAGGCACTTGCCACCAAGTCCAACAACCCAAGTCCAACTGACAGGATCCACAGGATGGAGAGAAGCAGAAGGCGAATGCACCCGAACATGCATGTATACGCACACACACACGCACACACACACACACACACACACACACACACACACACACACAGAGTAATGAAAAGGTTACTACCAATGGTTTCAGGTCCTAAAGTGGCCTGATAATTTTATAAAAAATATACCACTTGTATTTAAAAAGAGCACTTTAGACGTTGTTCCTAATCTTGCATGCAAAGAAACTATTAGAATGCAAGTTTACATACCTGTTTGGGTTGGATTAAGCGGTCCCGCCGTGTTCCTATTGCATTTGTTTTAAATTCTCATGTGTTTCCTAGAGAGGGAGAAAAGGTTAAAACTTTGAGAAATGTTTTCCCTCTAGGTAGCTGGCACCCTGGTCAGATACCCAGGCGAGAATAGCTGCTGCCTATTGTTGGTCAGGCACATACTGTAAAACCAGCGCCAACTCACTACCGACTCTTGCCTCAATCTGAAAAAGTCTTTTCTTTAAGCCTCAGCAGCTCAGAAAATGTGCTTAAGGGGAGTTACTTTTCTCAGTGTTCACAGCCTTTGAGAAAGGGAGTGAAGGAAACCTTTATTTGTGCTTTTTATCCTAATTTACATACTTGTTACTATTTTGTTTTTATTGACAAATTCAATAGTAGTGCTTTTATTTCCTGTGTGTGTGGCGCACGCGCGTGTGTGGTGTGCACGCAGTTGCACTATGGCCCATGTGTGAATGTCAAGATAATTTTCAAGCGTTGGTTCTCTTCTTCCATCACATGGTCCCAGAAATGGCCTGAGGCCATCGGACTTGGTGGCAGCCACCTTTACCCACTTGAGCCCTTTTATCAGTCATTCAGTTTCTTAAATTTTAACTTGCCCATCTGGAAAGTACCAATAATGCTTTCCTGTCACTCAACAGATGCTGTAAGGTGGAGCTGAAGGGAACAGTAGCAAAAATACCCTCTGAAGATGAAAACATCTTTAAAAGGAATTTCTAATACTAGGTTTAGAATTTTTTTATTTCTTCAGATGACCTTAGAATAGTGTCGCCACCACATATACCTCTTCAGGTTGTTTATAGGCCTTTTGACTGATTAAGATGTTCAGTGTAAGCCATTTAGCCTAAGCAGCTGAGTAAATGCCCAAGGGTGCTGTGTTCTTTGGAAGCTCAGGCTGTGCCTGGGCACCTTCTGCTGCAGGGCCCTGGTAGCAGCCATCACTCCCACAGCTCTGGTCTCCAGAGAGCCTGAAAGCAGAGCTGAGCTGCCTGCCCTGTGCAGTGCCTTCCGCCTGCTTGCCGAGTGTGCTAAGCCTTCCTTGGTGACTGACATTGGGGGCATCAGAGGGCAGCACTGTAATTTTTGTCTGAAGGCTGGTAAGGGAGCAGTGGGTTTCCAGTGTCACCCAGGGGCAGGAAATCTATTACACCAGGTAGTAAAGACTAGTTTTATGCCAATTTCTGAACTTTCTCCACCCCTACCTCCCAGAATATATTCGCTGCAGTTGGAAGGGGGCTATATGTGTATAACTTACAATTGAAGCATGTGATTGCCTGCCAGAAAACTGCACACGATTCCAACGTCCTACACATCGACAAACTTCCCAACAGGTACATTTTCTCATCTCTCTGCAAAGATGAAAGACAGTCACGGTTCCTAGGGCCACCAGCGTCATTTCTGCAGTGGCCAAATTACCTGGCTCCGTGGTTTGACCTTGGCATTCTTTTGAAAATAGGGACTGTTCCATGACTGGCTGTAATTGAAGAGTTTGTAGCAATATATGACAAAAATTTATAAGGGCAAGGTTAAATGAATTATACTATGTTTTGTTTTGTTTTAGAAGGATTTCTTTAAAATCGTTACTTAATAAGGTAAAAGACCTGGATCACTTACAATTTACTATTTTTTCTTTATATTTTCTATAAACTCATTTTTTTTTTAGTGGCGGCATATGTTTATGACTAAAATCAAATAGAAGCTCTTACTGGCTGAGGCTACTAAATGAGGGTTGCTTTGGCAGCTAAGATTCCACTGAGGAAATGGCAGAGTAGCATTTTCCATGCATCATCCTTTGGATGAGAGGCACTGTAGAAAGAGAGTAATAAAAGGCAGGAAGGAGGAGACTGCTAGGCCATTGTGTAGTTCATGTCATTTTTCTGAATGGTCTTTTCAAAACGGAGATGATAATTTTACATCATTTGAGCCAGTGTCACGGAGGGTGGTGTGGGCTTTGCCGGCGACTGTTTTCAGTTTGCACTGTAAAGCCATGCCAAATTGTGGTGGTCAGCCTTGCCAGAGCTGTCCACAGTCAGCTGAGGGCTGCGGTGATCTCAGCAGTCTGCGCTTGGCCTTCCAGGGTGCTTTCTGTCTTTTTCTCTCTGCTTTTTTATCCCGACAGGCAGTTAATCTCGTGCTCAGAAGATGGCAGTGTCCGCATCTGGGAGGTCCGAGAAAAGCAGCAGCTGGCAGCAGAACCTGTCCCGACAGGTGTGTGCTGTCCCCACAGAGCAACGCTGCTCCCTCCCCTCCTCTTTTCTCCCCCTCTCCTCCCCATCAGACAGGAAAAGGTGATAATGAGGAGCCACAGGAGCCATAGAGAATGTGCTTCCTGTAGTATCAGACATTTACAGGGTGCCCACAGTTCTTGGGGTCAGGAATCGCTTCAGTGTAAACTATCTCCTTATTTCAAATGAAGTCAATTGCAATTTTATTATTTTGAGAGAAAACTGTGACTTTCAAGTAATCTGAATGACCAGGTAGCCTACTGAAGTAAATAAACATTTATAAAATTGCCTATTTTGACTGACACACAGAATTTGTACGATTGGTATAAAAGCATTATTGTTAACACTGAATGCAATTTACAGAAAAAAGAAACAACTTACCTTTCTTTGTTAATGCCATAATCTCATAAGCTCTTTTAGGTGTTTGGTTTGGAAAATGAGTCTGGATATTTGAATGAATTTAATTATCAATCCTTAGTAAGTCAATACTAAGTTCCTACTTAGTTCTTGTATTTTTCAGTTTGCTTGAAGTTCTGGGACTCTCTCTGTCTCTCACAAACACACACACGCACACACACAATCACACGATTTTCCTCTGTCTTTTATTGGTAGGTCTGAAGTGCTCTTCTCTCCTGATTTTTGATGATTACATATAACCTTTATGGCTTTTATGGCTGTTTACTTCTCTTATATTCCAGGGTCTGTCTGTTTTCTTGCCACTAGTAGATTAGTAGGGGCAGGAGAAGAGATGTGGAGCTAGGTAACTTGAGATACAACATAATAAATTCACAGATTCCAGTTTCCAGCTAGTGTCTGCGGCCATCAGCTTAGCCCTTGACAGACATAAGTATGAGGCATAGTTGTATTTAAATTTTCTGCTTCTTTAAGGAAAAGCATAGTAGTTTTTGAAATGACTGAAACAAAATGTCTTTTTGTAGGGTTTTTTAATATGTGGGGATTCGGAAGAGTGAACAAACAAGCCAACCAGCCTGTTAAAAAGCAGCAAGAAAATGGCACTACATGTTCCCTGGAGCTCATTGGAGATTTGATCGGCCACTCATCCTCCGTGGAGGTACCACTTTCAGTAGGCATCAGTCCAGGCAGTTCCTGATTGTGCATCATGGTTCTTTTTTAATGCAGTTGCTCTGAATAAGACTCACACATCCTCAGCTGTAGGCTTTTGCAAGGTACTAATCTAGAATAAGACAGTGATAGTACAAGTAATTAGGTTCGTCTTTCATAGAGATAGGATTTGAGGAAGTAAGCAATGTATTGGTTTAAGAACAGCTTAGTCACCATTGTATAGGAGGTGGAGACAGCTGATCGCTCATAGGGCAATGATAGTGACTTGGAATGCGTATGGATTTGTAGACAGTAAGAATCATTGCCTGCCATGAAAGAAGGAATTAATGGCAATAGAGAGGTGATGGGAACTGGTAACTATGTAAGGATAGCAGTGAAGAGGGCCGTAAGTAATACGTTTCCTGAATTGTCTTTCTTGTTTCTTGGTCAATGAAGAACAGATTAGTTGTAATTTGGGTGAGCATCCATACTTTGAACTGGCCATTGACCATTTCCTGGAGTTTAAAAAGAAAGTACAATCCTTTTCCTCATAGATTTATGCTTCAGTAGAGAGGAAGGAAAAAGACCTAATGAGCTGATAATCGAGACAAGTTATGACTGACCCAGGTGAAAGGCAGGAGTTACAAGAACATTTCTTGCTGTATCCTATAATCTTGTAAAGTTCTGTAGAGATAGAGGATTTGAGGTGAGCCTTAGGCTAGGTTGCACTAAAAGATACACAGCCAAGACACTATGTGACCACCTTTGCTGGGAGCTGTGTCTTGCTCATCTTTGCTGTCCTTTAAGAAGAAGCTCAGTGCTTTGTTTTTAACTTTGTTTTGGCTTGAGTGGCTGTGGTGAAGATTACAGGTGGTGAGCTTGAATGTGATAGACCATAAGCAGAGATAGTGAGTTTGTTGGTTGGGTGGAATCACTGGGTTTCCACAGACAGACATTAATCAGATACAAAGCCTGAAAACTTAAGCTCAAGGAGTTTGGTCTTTACTTTTAAAACAGTGGGAACCCACTGAACATACTGAAAATGTTTTATGGGTATTTTGCCCACAATACTGCTGAAGGCAATAAGAGGGTGGTGGAATCCCCAGGGACTGAATTACAGCTGGTTGTGAGGTGTCATGTGGGTTCTGGGAATTGAATCCAGGCCTTCTGGAAGAGTAGTCAGTGCACTTAACAGCTGAGCCATCTTTCCAGCTCCCCATGAATGGTTTTCAATGGTAGAGAAGACCTTTGAAATGGCATATTTGTCATTATAGAAGTGAAAGGTTTAGGAACCTCCTTGAAAGTGTTTGCACTTTTGTCTCCTCACTGTCCCCAAGGTTTTCCATACTCCACACCAAGATACCCCTCATCCTGCATGGCAGCATTTCTAAAAAGCACCTTTGGCTTCATTGGCTGATTCAGACTCTGTTGATACCGGGTGCTGCATCCTGAATATCCTCATGACATTTGTGTTGTCACCCTTGCTGCCCAGCCCAGCCCAGCCCTTCTGCCCATGCATTGATGACCCAATCTCCTGAGAAATTTTGCTCCTATATTTCTGTCTTTTGTTCCAAAGTCATCACTAAGTCCTGACCTTTGACCTTACTCTCTTGTCCCTGACTTTTGTTTGGCTCATCCCTTTTTACACTGGGTCACTAAAGAGCCCTACCCTAGTCTTAGGTTTGTCTCTCCTAACCCCGCCTCTCCCTCCATCCACAGGATCCATCCTTTGTGGGTACTGCACTTAACTTAGCCTCCATTCTCTTCCTTCCATAGCATGCCTTTTCCCTTTACTTGGAGAGTTTTCTCTGGTGATAGTTCTACTGTTACTGCTGCATGTTTACTCTTACAAGGCTCTGAGGCATCCACACTGCAGAACCGACTACAGAATCTTTCACTGGGACCCCAGTTATTGCAGGTGGCCCTGGCTTCTGAGCTAAAGTTACTCAGTACATGCTGTGCATGGACTTGACACCGCTACTTTACAGAAATCATTGAAGTCAGCGTTTATCTCAGGAAATTTATTTGGTAGCCAGTTTTTAGTAAATAATGCAAGTGTGAGGGGACCTGCACCTGACAGAATCTTAAAGTCAACATGTGAATAATTAGATTGTGGTAAACTCAGAAGATATTTTGAGAAATAACTGTTACTGTGGTTGATCAACAAAATCTATTACAATATTAAATATTGGTTGTACCAACAGGTTGTGAAAAGGAAATTTTTCACGAGGCTTGGTGGCATATGCCTGTAATCCCAGCACTCAGGAGGTTGTGGCCTTCAAGTGAGTCCTGGCTCAAAACTCAAAGGTTGGGGAGGTGCCTCAGTGATGGAGCTGTGAGACCCTGGCTTGACTCACCAACCCTGGAAACAAGAAAGTCATTCATTAGAGAGATACCATTGCACTCAAATCCAAAGAAACCTCCTCATCTGTTAGAAGCACACACAGAGACCTAGCTTTAGCCTCTTCTTGATGGTCTTGAACTAGTGTTTCAATTTATTTTACAGATGTTCTTATACTTTGAAGATCATGGACTAGTGACATGCTCTGCGGATCATCTCATTATTTTGTGGAAAAATGGAGAGCGAGAATCTGGATTCCGAAGCATAAAGTTATTTCAGAAGTTAGAAGAAGACGGTGACTTACACCCTGCTGTCTAGTTGAAGGAATTGGACAGATACATACGTATGAGCCTTGGACAGCAAATACAAAGTGGCACTCTGAAAACCATAGCACACTGATCTTAGATTTGGAATGTTTTTCTTGCCTATGAAGTTCTTTCTGTCTGCCAGCAACAAGTGTGTCCACCCAAGGACATAGCACAAGTGTCCACTGGGTCTTGCTGCTGTGGAAGGGGTGGGTGCTGTGTTCTGTTTCTTAAAGTGATAGGGGGAAAAGGTAACTGTAAAGTTGTCACATTATTTAGAAGTTTTATTTTAGGTTCCTTTAAAGACTGTTTAAGAATTGTCAGGATAAATATATCCCTTCTACTACAAATTCTCCTGTTCTTTAGTAGCTTTCAGTGTTCACGTGAACTAAATTGAATATTAGCCAAAAAATTATATTCTTTAAGTACAATGATTCTTTTTGGTACCAACTAATTTAAGTCAATGAAAAAAAATTCATTGTACCTACTAGAGTCCCTCTGTGCTCCAGGCCACAGGCATCATCTGAGGGTACATTTCTTTCTCAGTGGGAACTGGCCAGTGCTCGGTTGTTTCTGTGGTGAGTCCTGGTAGCTAAATTGCCTTAGCCATCTGCTTTGCCTCTGCCTTAACATAAAATGGTCAAAGACAGCCTCATTGTTTGGCCTATTGAACATCTGCTAAGACTGGGCCATCTCCATCACCAGCCTTGTGACAATATTCTCACTTTTGGCACGGAAACATAAAATGTATTCTACATAGTAGTGGGGGTTATTCCTGAACTGATGATTAAGGAATCTTAGTAAAGACAGGCAAGATGAATGATGTTAGGCATCTGATCCTTCTCCAAGAGAATGTTTACATATTTGTGTGTGCACACGTGGGTTCTGTACTTCCTGGATGGATGCTAGGAATTCTCGGCTTCGCCAGTTTCAACTTCCACAGCTGCTTACAAAGATCAGTAGCATCAAGATGGTAGGTAGGTGAGTGGCACAATGTTAGAAATAGGAAACCAAGGCCCGTGGAGGTAAGTTCGCTCGTTAGTGCCCGTTGTCATCATTGAAGAGACTTAAAACCAGACAAGGAGGAGAGGGAGGAAAGCGGAGAGGACTTCATGGTGACCATGTTAGGAAAATCGGTGTTCATAGTCCGTGCTGCTGTTGTAGTTCACAGTGAAAATAGCTTTATAGGAAAAATATTACAATATAAGCTAACTTAATTAGGACATAGCAGCATGAGAATGAGAAGATTAACAGTACCGTTTAGCCAGCAAACCACTGTTATCTGAGGAGTCAACACAAGAGGCAGATTTCTCGTCATTCTTCCTGAAGATGAGATGTGGGTAGCACCCGCCAGCCAGGCAGACATCCGTCTGCTCTGTGCATCCGCTGGTCACCGTAGCTAATTTATTTTAGACTCACTTAAAGCTTTGAGTTTGCTTCCCCTTTTATTAGCTAGCTTTTCCTTTGCAAATTTTGTATTAGGCTATTAGTAAAGGTGTTTTCTTAAGTGATATAAGAATCCATAGGGGTTTTGTTCTGTTATAACTGTTTCCTAACCTGCTTTGGATTCATTTTTGTGGTAGTATTCTGTTCAAATGGAGGTGCAGAAGTCATGCCTGAGTTTCAGGGGCAGACAGGATCTGAGTCAGGCATTGCTGCTGTTGCACTGTGGCTGACCGGTTTCCCACCACTAGAGAGAACTAGTGTGTCCTGAGGGTAGCCTTCCATCTGCTGTGAGACCTGGTGTCAGTGTTCTGAGGCTAGGGAGACGGAGCATGATAGGTGGCCATGGCAGGACCTTTGCTGCCCAGGAGTTCCCTGTAGACTGTTCCTAGGACTTGAACTTGCAGTTTAGAGGAAGCAGATTAGAGCTAAGGCCAGTATATTATGTGCATGTTTTTCTACTTCCCCCAGCTGTCTGCACTAGGTCACTGTCGTGTGCCCTGTTGCTTGTCTCTAGGTGCATTTGTGCATCTCCGTCTTGTACGCTGCTCACAGGCTGAGTGGGTTCCAGTTGGGCAGATGATACCTGTTCTTTGCTGAGGAGGGTGGCCACCCCTGACTGACCACTGGCTGAAACTGTGGAACCATTCTGGTTCATGTAACAGTATTTTACAACTAGCTTCCTTCTTTGGCAGAGTAATTAGTAATAGTATTAACATGACTTTCCTAGCCTTTGTATTTTCCTAAGTTAATATAGGTCCTCTTGACGCACGGTGTCATAGTAAACGGGAGTAAGAGGCACTTATAATAGTTTATATGTATCACATAGAAACTATCTGAGATGCATGAATATTACCTGAAAGCCCATGATTCTAGTAACTTGGAAAACCAAGCCTCTTAGCAACTCAGAAGATCACTGTAATTTACACTGAAAATGAGCAGGTTATACTGAACCTTTGGTACCTGAATGCCTTACATCCACATAATATTAACATTTGAAGTTAATGTTTTATATAGGAAATGTCAGGTGCCTGGCAAATGTTCCTTACCAAGTAGAACCGAAAGCAAGCTGCTCAGGAAGATTGCCCTTGTGTCCAGCAAGTTTCTGAAGCCAAAGGAGATTGCTTTTATCTCTGAGGTCCCGCACTCTGATGTCAGTGCTCTGAAAACAGACTTGGCGACTCGTGAAATAAAGGACACTAGAACCCCAAATTTGAAATTATGAAAAGTTTAGGCCAAAGAGATAAAATAAAAACAGCTGTTGGGAATGAAAAATGGCTGTAAGAATTTAGTTACAAGTATTTCACAAAAACATTTCATCACATGTACACAATGCAGCAATACAGTACAAAGCCAGCTCTCCCCACCAATGAAGCCCTCTTACCGTCTAACAAAAATAATTTAGATGCATTTTTGTGCATGGAATTTTCATATATGTTTACACTTTGGTACAAAACATAGAAAAAAACATTGGCACATTACATAGTGATAAGTTGTCTTTTTTTCTCCCATGTACTGATTTTTTACATATTCTGCAGTCCAATTTTCATTTGGAAAAATGTAGCTACTGGTTCAATTAGTTCAGCTTCTATGCCTCTTAAAAATGCATCATGGAGTACAGGTAAAATAAAACTAAGGTATTTTGTTTACTTAGTTTCTGATATCATAATACATAGAGAAGGGATGGCTGATAAAGGAGAAAGGAAAAATCTCCAGTCTGACTTTATGCAGAGCACAGAAAGTTGTGAAAAGAGTTGTATAAAAATATGCACTTGTGCTTCAGAAGCCTTACCATATAATTAATAGATTAAAATAGTATTTACTGCCTCTCTGTGTGCCTATATTCTGGTATATTTACATTTCTTGCAATCCCTTTTTACATCATTAAAGCAAATGGCATGATCTCAAATATAAATTAAGAATATCTGAACCTTGACACTTCCCCATTTCCTCCCCAAATACAGGTAGTGCCCAGCAAACTCTAGGGGTGAAGATCCAGGGCATTTAGAGTGTTTGAATAAAAATCTTTGAACAGCAAATATATATATATGTATATATATAAATTTTTCTTCTCTTAATTTTTTTAAAAGGCTTGCCCATGAGCATTCAGATTTAATGGCTTTTATAGATACTCTTAACTTGTGGCTGTGTCCATGAGCCTGGAGTAAGGGACACTCAAGGACTCCCCCAAGCAGGATCCCACTGCTTCCCATCAGCTGGCTTCCTATAAGGTGAGTGCCTTCCAGGAAAGAGGGCCCCGCCCATCTGAGGGACACTCACTGGCCAAGGCTGTGCTGTTCTCACTTGGGTGTCACACTACCTACCATGTAGCCATGGGAGCCGGATGCTAACTGGTTTTATCAGTCATTTTGCCCTCACTCTGCTCTTCTTAAGGTTTTCTTACACATGCGTGCTCAGAGAAGCTTTTTTTTTTTTTTTTTAAGGAATCCTTCATACTCTTGCCATTGAGGAAAGTAGTGAAGCTAAACATCAGTAGTGAGTTTTCTGGTGAAAGCTGAGCTGAGCACTAGCCAAGCTGCCGGCCGGGTCTCCATCAAAAGGATGGACTCCCAGATACCAGGTCTGCTTCTGGTGTCCTGCTTGCAGCTACAGTGAGTCATTCGGCTCCATGGTTTTGTAAGAGCACACACAGCATGGCCAAGGAGGCTGCCAGGAAGTTCGTTTTGTCACCAAGTGATTCAAAGGAACATATCTTTACTGATGGAATAGAACTTTCTGAAAAATGAAATTTGGGGGCGTGCATGATTCGGGTCAGCTATTAAACACTAGCTCCTTAATCTACACCTGTCATTTTCATTACGGAAATCCTCTCGCCCATGCTACTCTGTGGTTCACAGTGTCCGTCATAGATCAAGAGGCCCCTCTCTGGCCCGGCTTTAGCTGTCGGACGGAAGTCTCAGACTTTTGCACTTGAGGTCATCCAGTGTCTTCCAGTGTTTGTAGTTATCTGCCAAGTGCTGCATCAGGGCTGGCAGGTGCGCGAAGGCTGCAAGGACATGAACAGAACCCAGAGAGACCCATTACAGGAAGCTGGCTCTCAGGGGTACTTCTTAGGCTTGCCTTGGGGTTCAGAAGTAGAGGAGATAGTAACCTGCTTGCCATGCAACCGTAAGGACATGAGTCCAGCCCCCAGACCATAGAAAAAAGCTGGCCATGGTAGCGTGAACTTGGGAGGTTCTAGGCCAACGAGAAGCCCTGTATTAGGAAAAGAGTGGCTGGCTCTGAGGTACAACACCTGAGGGTGACCTCTGACATCTGTTTGTATATGTACCCCACAAAATGAACAGGAGGGTGGATATCCCCAAGGCCTCGGTGAACATATGCACGAGAACACAAGTTTTCTTTCACTTGTTTGTTTGGTAGTGTGAGGAGTTGAACCCAGGGCCTTGTGTACCAGGCAAGCAGTCCTCTACCCTGAGCTGTGAGCTACACCCCTAGCCCTAATGCATGAGCTTCTGAAATAAACAGGCTTTTTACGGAACTCTCTTGAACCTGAAATTCACTTTTTGCTTAATGGAATTTCTTCTGGTGTGAGAATGAAACAGTTGTCCACTTTGGGAATCCATCCTTTGAAAAAGTGAAGACTTACCCCTCCAGGTTACACTTGTTCACCAGATCTGATGCACTCAAGATTGTGTCAGATGCGAGGATGTATTTACTCCAGCTGCCCGAAAAGGGCTCACAGCATGTGTGTGTGTGTGTGTATACATATATACATACATATATGTTAATATTTTGTTTACCTTTAGGTCCAACCTATGCCCCTAACAATGATCTTCATTAAGTATAACAGAATTTCCTTTGTGGGTGGTAAAACAACATCTAACTTACCATCCCAAGCATCAAACATGTCTGTTATGAAGTAGTCAATGAAGGAGATCTGGGACTTGGGGATGCTGCAGGTATTACGGTCAAACACTGGCATCACAACAGGTAGCCCCTGTCTCTTCTCCTCATCGGTCTATGAGGGAGAAAAAACAAAAACACCACTGCACAGGGCTGTGGGGCACACGAGAAGCCTTCACAGTCATGGCACGTTTCTAAGAAAAATCCCAGAGAGCACAGAAGTTTAGCAGTTTCCTGAGATGACCCACCGCGATCTTGTTCAGGTCTCCTCACTCTCAGGTCCCTCTCTCCTCCCACACTTCACTTCCTCCCCTCTCCTCTCATGAACTGAGGGCCGTGTTTCCCAAAGAGCTGTAGCATCACTAGCCCTCATGGTACACACTGGTTCGTGGCTTCCCCTGAAGCACTGTGGAACTTAGACCCCTTTTCTGTAATCTGCTTTTATTTCTGTAAGGTTATATCTATACGCCTACTTAGCCTAATGCCACTAATTGACATTAGCAGCGAAGGTCAAACTACCCATAGCAGCGAACCACACAAGTTAAAAACATTAATCATTGTATTCCTGGCTGCATGTTTGCAGATTTTGGTTTGTTTGTTGCTTTTTGTTTGTAACTACTTTCACTTAAAAATGGCATTAGGCAGCCGTGAGAATCTTAACCTTTCAGTATATATCTTTTAACTGTTCTGCTTGGCAAGATGGCAGGTACAGAAAGCCTTTGCGCTCCAGCCACGATCAGGGTGCCTCTAGGATGAGGACACTGGAAGTTGAGCTGGGATCTGGAGCTGCTTTTCCCCAGGGAGTGTTAATACACAGCTGCCAAGGAGCCTGGAGATGAGAGTATGCTGCATGGTGCAGTGTCTGTTCCTGCCTGGACGCTCGAAGCTGAATGGTGAGATCCACATTTCCTGATGATGCCCAGGGCTCATCATGGGCTTCATCTGCAGTCTGATCATACTGAAAAGGACACCTAAGCTGGAAGCTTCCATCAGAGAACTTAACCATGGCACAGTCTCCTCATGACAGTAACTAGGACTCAGGCCTTAAATGTGGGTCCCAGGAAACCCACTAGTTAATGACTTCTGGCTCAGCTCACTCAGTTCATCAAGTAGCCTTAAAATATCCACTGGTATTCTTGGAGTAATTTGGTCCATACCCCCATTCTCTCTACTCCCTCTGTCCCCCTACCATCTGACTTGCCCCCGGCAACATGGGTAAACTCAGAGCTGCCTGTCCAACCTTTCTGCAGTTCAGAGGCTCCTTCCCAGCCTGCCCTGCTGCACAGTGTTAGCTGTTCTCTATCCTGCCTCAGTGATACAGTCCAGCCAAACAGCGCACCACCCCCGTGAGTCACTCATAGCTGCCTCCAATCTGCCTTCCGACACACGTACAGACGCCAGTCTTTAAAGTTTTTCCTCTTTGAAGTAGAACTCTACTTCAAAAGCCATCTGGCAGTTTGGTGTCTTCTGGAGTTTTCTCTTTTTGTCCTGTTTTTACATTTTAAAACCCTTTAAAAATATGACTCTAATACCACCCTGGAAACGTCCCTTTCCGGAAAACATCTGAATCCCTGTAGAATCTAGCACAGATAAGTCCTTAGGAGTAGTTTTTGTTAGTTTTTAGCATGTATATATGCATGCATGTAAATAGGTGGGCATTGTGTGTGGCATGTATGCACATGTATACACATGCACAGCGTGATGTCAGGGCTCCTGCTTTATATCATTTTTCTGCCTTATCCCTTTGAGACAAAATCTCTCTGTACCTAGAGCTGGGCCGGCACCTAGCAAACCCCAACAGTCTGTCTCTGCCCTCTGCCCTGCTGGGGTCAAAGGTGCTCACATTGCCACACCCTGCTTCTTTACTTGGGTGCTAAGATTTGAACTTAAGTCCTCATGTTTGTATATCAAGTATTCCTACCCATGGAGCCATCTCTCTAGAGCCCCGCCCCTCTGAACCAAAGTGTGGGCCTACCTATGTCTATATCTATGAACTTATGAAACTTCAGGGCCCAGCAATTGCAGAATTTACTCACAAAGTCTCAGTCTATCCCTTTATTCCTAAGGACTTTGGCCTGTTTCTTCAGAGAACCCCAAGTCTGCTCTAGCCAGGTCTGAGGATTGTCCCTTCCAGAGAAGAGGCGTTTACTAGCTGTGGAACCCACAGGGTTCTGTGGCCTAGGGCCCGTTCCCAGAAGGACAAGGACCCCTCTTCCACAGCAGCTCACCTGTGCGAAGTACTCCTCAGAGATCCTCCCTGCCCACTCAATGCACAGGTCCAGGGGTCGGCACGGGTTGGCCACGTCGGCACACTTGATCATCATGCGCTTGATCAGGGTTTGGTTTTCAGGGAAGTTCTTTCCAGCAGGGTTACATTCACAGTCGCTGCCCTCACTCTGGAAAACAGGCTCAGATCAGGGCTGGAGAAGGCTAACTCACCAGGCTGTGACTGGGACTTGGCAAAGGGAACTGTTGGATTCCTACATCCATATATAACACACTAGCACAGTCTTTAAAAGCCATCTATATAGTGTAGAATTTAAAAGGCAAAACAGTCCCTGCCATCACCCATTCACTCACTTATAACCTTTTCTCAGACATAACAGCTGTTGGCAGTGTCTGTTTTGAGCGGTTTAGAAGATTGCCCTCAAAAGGGCTCTTTCCCTCTCCCCGATTCCTCAGAAACATGTGGGAACACAACTTCCGGTTACTTTAATGCATCAAAAGGAGAAAAACTGACTTTTCAATTACCTTTTGTATTTGTTTTTTTTTTTGTTTCCTTCATTGCCTTCCCACCCCCACGTCTTAAGGCATGTATACATTCATGTGTTTTCTTGGCTGGTTCTCCCTGAGACATAATTAGTGTGAGGTGTGAAACATGTACATTTGGGCCAGAACGTAAGAGAATGAGTGTTCGCCAGCCTCTGAAAACTTACACAGTAGTGTGTACCTGCTGGGGG